GAGAGGTCCCCAACTGCAGACTTTCCCAGTGCAATAGATCTCCTGATTGGCAATAAACCGTTGGTACCAAGGATGTATAATGTGAGAAGGAAAAGGGGGGGGAGAGGTTGGGAGATTCTAGCAGCCTAGTGGCAAGAAGCTGTGCTGCTATCCTGAAAGCATAGGGTTCAAATCTACCAGATGCTCTGCTGGAGGAGGGTATTCTCCCTGTGCCAGTTGGATCTGATTTGATGGTGTGTACACACACACACACACGAATGTAGAATATGGATCCAATCAAGAGGAAGGCATTGACAGTTTCAGTATTTTTTCATCTATTATGACGTTGGCCACTGGTTCAATGGTAAAAATTTATTGTTTTCTTACGATTAAAGATGTAATCCATACTGAAGGCTTTATTTTTTGATCTTCTCCAACAAGTGCTTCAAATCCTCATCACGTTTAGCAAAAAAGGTTGTGTCATCTGACCCTAATGCCATATTCTTAAGAGTCCAGTGTCTTGAATAATTTGCTTAACATATAGTCTGAATGGGTATAGAAAGAGGATATAACCCTGAAACACACTTTTATTAATTTTAAACCATGTAGTGTTTCTTTGCTCTGTTAGCACAACAGCCTCTTGATCCAGGCATAAGTTTCACATGAGCACAATTTAAAGTGTTATAGGATTCCAATTCTCATTATTAGCCATAATTTGTTATGATCTATATAGTCAAATATCTTTGCATAGTCAATAATGCATAAATAGACATTCTTCTGGTATTCTGCTTTCAGCCAGGATCCATCTGACATCAGCAATGATATCCCTGGTACTATGACCTCTTCTTAAGCCAGCTTGAACATCTATGTACTGTTCTAGCTGTTTTTTAATGATTTTCAGCAGTGTTTTGCTTAAATGTGATACTAATGATACTGTGAGGTAATTTCCACACTGTGCTGTATCACCTTCATGGCAAAAGGAACAAACGTGGATCTTTTTCAGTCAGTCAGCTGCCCTCCAGTCTTGACAAAGACTGTCCATGGCTGCAGTTGTTAGTTGAAACATGTCAACTGGTATCCCAACAATTCCTCGGTGCTTATTTTTTGTCAATACCTTCAGTGGGTCTTTAACTCCTTCCTTCATTACTACTGGCTCTTGATTACAGGGTGTGTCCCAAAATATTTCTGTGTTGACCAAGTGTTTTGGTACACTGAATCAGTACTCCTTCCATCTTCTTTTGATGCTTCCTGGTTCATTCAAGATTTTGTCCATAGCATTTCTCAAACTGTAGCAGGATTGGCTTAATCTTAATTCCTAACAGAACAGGGTTGGCCTAATCTTTATATCCACTGGGGTTTTTACGGAGCACATGGGAAGTGGATCTCATACACAAATGAGAATCCAAGTAGAATCTGATGAATGCCAAGACTCTGAGAGATGGAGAAGGATGTTTGCCTAAGCAATGACTTTCTGTACCTTTATACCACCCACTTTATATCTGGTTATGGTTGTTGTTGTTGTTATGTGCCGTCGAGCCGTTTGCAACTCATAGTGACCCTATGCACAACAGCCCTAAACCCTGCTCTATCCTGCGCCAACCGCACTGCCTCTGACACACCCATCCCGATTACACCAGTCACTGAATCAATCCACCTCAGAGAGGGTCTTCCCCTCCTGCGCTGTCCCTCCACTCTACCCACTGCCTTTGAATTATGGTGTTGGAGAAAAGTATTTAATATCACATGTACTGTCTAGAAGAACAAACAAATATATCTTGAAGGAAGTTCAATCAGGATGCTCCTTAGAGGAAAGGATAGAGAAACTGTTTCACATACTTTGCATCCAGTCTATGAAAAATGATATGCTAGAAAAGACAGAGGGTCAGTGAGTTAGACAAAGGCGCTCTAAAATCTGGAACACTACTAGAGATCATAAGTCAGTGTGGCACAGGACAGGCCAAGGTTCAGATGTGCTGTTGACAGGGTCTCTATGAAATGCACTAAACTCGATGTCACCTAACAGCACCACAGCACTAATGTCCAAAAAAAGTGCATGCAGTCCCATATTAAAGCTGTGTCTATGTTTTTTCTTTTTCCTGACACATTCTGAGATCAAGGAATGCAACAGTTCATTTGCTGATGTGTCCTAGAACTCTGCTTACAGAGGTCTTTATGTTTACCTATTAATTTATATTCCTATCTTAGTTTCTTAGTATGTCAAGAAGACAAAGATTCTCACCACTGGACCAATTGGCAGCATCAGGATGGATGGCGAAGAGATTGAGATTGTTCACAGATTCAGTCTGCTCGGCTCCACGGTCAGCACTCTTGGCACCAGCAGTCAAGAAATCAAAAAAACATATTGCGATGGGAAAGTCTGCTCTTAATGACCTCTCTCAAGTACTCAAGAGCAACGGTGTCTCTCTGAAGACTAAGATGCGCCTGATACAGGCCATGCTCTTTGCAATCACTTGTTATGCATCAGAGAGTTGGATAATGACTAGGGAGGATAGAAGGAGAATTGATGCCTTTGAGCTGTGGTGCTGGAGAAGAGTATTGAATGTACCATGGACTGCCAAGAAAGAAAACAAACAGATTCATCCTGGAGAGGGTTAGATCAAGCTACTCCGTAGAGACAAGGATTCTGGGGCTTCGTCTGACATACTCTGGCGATGTTGCAAGGAGGGACAGGTCCTTGGAGAGGGACATCATGCTTGGGAGGGTGAACGGACGGCGCAAGAGGGGAAGACCCTCTATGAGGTGGATTGATTCAGTGACTGGGGTAATCGGGATGGGTGTGTCAAGAGGCAGTGCGATTGGCACAGGATAGAGCAGGGTTTAGGGCTGTTGTACATAGGGTCACTATGAATCGCAAATGACTCGATGGCACATAACAACAACAACAACAATCTTAGTTTCTTAGTATGGCTGTAATAAAACTACCACAAGTAGGTAGTGAGAAATAAGTGAGAAACTTACTTCTCCACAATTTAGGAAGAAAGAAGTCTGGACTCAATAGGTTTTTTTCCTGGAAAAGCTTTTTCTCTTATTCTCGCCCTACTGTTCCTTGGCTATCCACAACAGCTGCTTGTGTCTTCCCCACTTCACGTTTGCTCGTGTGTCTCTTTGGTACTCTTTTTACCAGCAAGACGCGACAAGGTTTAGAACTCATCCTTACAGGGGTATAAATTCCTTAAAAGAACAGAGAAACCCATATTCTACAGTGGGATTACATTTAGAGATAGAGAGATTAGGACTTCATGAGCTATTTTGGGGGAAAACAGTCTAATCTACAGGATTCTGTTTACATTGCTTTCTTCCTCATACATTGCTTATTTCTTTGTATGAATTTAGAGAATAAGCCTTAAGTGAACAGACACCTTCTACTTTCCCTACTACCATCAAGCTCACTCATGGGTTTCGAAGGCTATATATCTTTTCAGGAGATTGTCTTGTTTTTCTTCCACAAAGAAGCTAGTGGATTCAAACTGATGACCTTATGGTTATCAGATGATTCAGTTACTGCTTATGTCAGTCTGAAGATTAAGGTGTACCTGCTTTAGGTTTCATATGAGAGTTGGACAATGAATAATGATGACAGGAAAAAAATTGAAGACTCTGATTTGTGGTTTGGGAGACAAGTACTGAATATCCCATGGAATGCCAAAAAACCAAAAAGGTATGTCTTGGAGAAGATGCAGGCAGACTCTTCTCTAGAGACTTCATCTCTCATACTCTGGGCATGTTTTGGGCCTCTTGAAGGGAAAGGAACATCATGATTGCAAAGGAGGAGTTTCAGTGAAATAGAGGAAGATCCTCCATGAGACAGATTGACACAGTGACTGCAGCAACAGGCTTTAGTACATACGAGATGATGAGCATGGTAACGGATGTGCTCGGATCTGTTGTACATACTGCTTCTATGAGTCATACTTTTTTTTTTTATTTTTTTTATTTTGTGTGCGTGTACCGTCAAATCAGATCTGACTGGTACAGGAGGATATTGCGCCTCCTTCTCTGGCAGAGCATCTGGTGGACTCGAACCGTGTTCCTCTGGGATTGCAGTGCAGCTTCTTGCCACTAGGCCACCAGAACTCCCCTGAGTCATACTTGACTCAATAGCAAATTAATAACAACAACAAATCCCTTAAATTCTAAAATGATACATTACTTACTTAGTAAGGCATTCTGTAAATTTTTTCCTTGAATAAAGTTTTATGATGAAATAAGAGCAAAATATATTAATATGCTAAGTTATTACTGATATAATAAATAATGTAAGTTGAAAACATTTGTCAAAATGGTTCATAATATTTCTGGAAATGTGACTGGCAAGGTGGGTGAGGAGGTAGAAAAATCACTTTCATTTTTTTCTTTAAAGATTGTTATTGTTGGGGAGCTCTGGTGGCCTAATGGCAAGAAGCTGCACTGCAATCCCAGAGGCACTTGCTTCAAGTCTACTAGATGCTCTGCTGGAGAAGGAGGTAAAATCTCTCCTCTTGTACCAGTCAGATCCAATTTGAAGACACACACACAAAAAATATTAAAGTAAAATAAAAAAAATTTTATTGTTAAAAACAACAATAAGTACTGAGTGTTTCCTAGGAGGTAGGCTCTCTTTTAGGTATCTGAATTTTTAATTTTAAAAAATTCTTAAGAGTACTATGATGTAGGAGCTCTGGCTGCCAAGTGGCAAGAAGCTGCCGTTCAATCCTGAATATGCGCAGTTCAAATCCACCAAATGCTCCGCTGAAGAAGGAGTGCCAGTTGCATCCAATTTGATGGTACACCAAGTTAAAAAATAAGTAAACTTTTTTTTAAAAAAAAAGAGTACTATGATGTAGACCTTATAAATACACTCATTTCACCTAGAGAAGTTGAGAAACATGCAAATCACACACTTACACTTGTGGATTTTAAAGGATGCACAGAGGAATACTAGTCCATCACATTTCTTGGAAAATCTCCCAAGTAGGAGCAAATAAAAGCAAGATTGAGAGCAGAAATGGTATCTTCCTCACCCTGTAGGTCTAGGTGATCCAGATGTGCTCCGCAAAGAGCTGTCCACTCTGGAACTGGTCATTTCAGGAGGCTGAGGAGGAATAAGGGTTTTCCGAACTGCCATTCTGAAAAAGACCAACAAACTAGGAAAAGAGTGGTCCAAGGGCATCAAAAGATATACAGTATAAGATGGTCATTTTTCTGGCAACGAAAAGCCCCAAAATAGCTGCATGTTTTAAAAATTACATGTCCATTATTTTAAAAGGAATTATTACTAAAAGGTTATTAATAAAATACAGATAGATGGTCCTGCTCCATCCATCTTACTTCTGCCAGGCTCCCTCCAAGTCTGTGATCCTGCCATCCACTGATTCTAGGATGGGATAGCTCCTTTTACTTCATATTATTAATATGTTAGCTTATGAATTGCACTTTTGCTTTTACTACACATATTTAAATCTACATAGTATGCAGTTTATACAGAGCTGTTTCAAGTAAAAGTTTATTATAGGAAGGAGTTAAGAGAACATGATTCTGATTCATGGAGATCCCATGTGTGCATAACAGAACTGCTCTGCAGGGTGCTCTTAACAGGCGGTAGACTTTTGGAGGCAGGCCAGTCTTCTGAGGCACCACTGGTAGGCTTCACACACCAACCTCTCAGGCAGCAGTGAAGAGCTCACCAGGATGTACTATGCAGGAACACTGACACAGTGCCACAGTGGATAAATAAAGCTAGGACTGGGAATCCACCTCTGAGTTTAGCAATGTGGAAACACAGGTGGCTCTGAAATGCTGAGTTTTCAGAATTCTAAAGGAAAATTCCAGATACAGTGAATGTGAAACAAAGTAACTAGAACGAGAATATATAATTTTAAACTGTTAATAATTAATTCTATTTATTATTAAAAAGTCAAATACTACTAAAAGGATTTAAATGAAATACAGATGGTTCCTGCTCCATTCTGCCTTGCTTCTGGCCAGTCTCCCTCCAGGAAGACTATGATCTCTGAGTTGCTGCTTCTAGTATGCCTTATCTCCTTGTTACTTCAGGATACTGCAGCACATTATATGAGCTTCTGAATGCTCAATTATTGACCTCACTATACATTAGGTGTGCAATTGTCCAAAAATGCAATATAGATGCTTTAAGAGTAACAGTAATGGCAGTTGGAAACTGGTAGTTAGAAAATACGGATTTGGTGACAGAAATGAGGACAGCACAGAATTTTGTACGACCAGCGATGTACCTGCTATAAATATCTTTTTTAGAAAATTTAAATGACGAATAAACACATCAAGCTTGTAGGATGAAATATACAGGTATCAAATTGATTAAATTTGTGGAAACAAAGTATAAAACTTTAGTGTCAATATCAACATTCCAAACAAGGCAGGGAGCTGATTGTGAAATGATCATCAATTGTTCCTATGCAAGTTCAAATTATAGTTAAAGAAAATGAAAATAAGGCTACAAGGAGTTCATCTTTAAGTATATTCCATCTCAATGTGGAGATCTCAAGCATAGATCTGATGAACCAAACACTAATAATCAAACACAACATGAGTTTTGAGATGGCATCAAGGACATCGGACATGAAGAAAGTAAACTTTCAGGACTTCCAATATGATGACCAAGACCAATTAGATCAGGAGATCAATTCCTTTCCAATAGACACAAAAATGAAAATTGCATATTTGGATGATAGTCCCAGAATCCTGAGATGCACAAGAAACAATAAAGAGTACATGAAAACATCTCCTGAAGGCAGAAACTGAATGAAAACTGATTAAAGATATGAAGCAAGCAGTCATGAAGGGACTCAATACAGTATATCTGCTTTGATCTCTGAGTGATGCTTTGGGGTTGGTGGGGTCATGCAGGAACTAAGAATTCCAAGAGTTCTGAGACCAGTGGCTGACTGATGTCAAAAAGATTCAAATCATAAAAAAAATAATCCACCATGACCAAGTGGGATTCATAATAGGTATGCAAGGATGGTTCAACATTAAGGAAAACAATCAATGTAATTCATCACATCAACAAGGCAAAGAACAAGAACCATATGGTCCTATCAATTGATG